ACATCACTTGTTACTGACACGACTAGAGGTATGTCACAGTGAACCATTACATCACTTGTTACTGACACGACTAGAGGTATGTCACAGTGAACCATTACATCACTTGTTACTGACACGACTAGAGGTATGTCACAGTGAACCATTACATCACTTGTTACTGACACGACTAGAGGTATGTCACAGTGAACCATTACATCACTTGTTACTGACACGACTAGAGGTATGTCACAGTGAACCATTACATCACTTGTTACTGACACGACTAGAGGTATGTCACAGTGAACCATTACATCACTTGTTACTGACACGACTAGAGGTATGTCACAGTGAACCATTACATCACTTGTTACTGACACGACTAGAGGTATGTCACAGTGAACCATTACATCACTTGTTACTGACACGACTAGAGGTATGTCACAGTGAACCATTACATCACTTGTTACTGACACGACTAGAGGTATGTCACAGTGAACCATTACATCACTTGTTACTGACACGACTAGAGGTATGTCACAGTGAACCATTACATCACTTGTTACTGACACGACTAGAGGTATGTCACAGTGAACCATTACATCACTTGTTACTGACACGACTAGAGGTATGTCACAGTGAACCATTACATCACTTGTTACTGACACGACTAGAGGTATGTCACAGTGAACCATTACATCACTTGTTACTGACACGACTAGAGGTATGTCACAGTGAACCATTACATCACTTGTTACTGACACGACTAGAGGTATGTCACAGTGAACCATTACATCACTTGTTACTGACACGACTAGAGGTATGTCACAGTGAACCATTACATCACTTGTTACTGACACGACTAGAGGTATGTCACAGTGAACCATTACATCACTTGTTACTGACACGACTAGAGGTATGTCACAGTGAACCATTACATCACTTGTTACTGACACGACTAGAGGTATGTCACAGTGAACCATTACATCACTTGTTACTGACACGACTAGAGGTATGTCACAGTGAACCATTACATCACTTGTTACTGACACGACTAGAGGTATGTCACAGTGAACCATTACATCACTTGTTACTGACACGACTAGAGGTATGTCACAGTGAACCATTACATCACTTGTTACTGACACGACTAGAGGTATGTCACAGTGAACCATTACATCACTTGTTACTGACACGACTAGAGGTATGTCACAGTGAACCATTACATCACTTGTTACTGACACGACTAGAGGTATGTCACAGTGAACCATTACATCACTTGTTACTGACACGACTAGAGGTATGTCACAGTGAACCATTACATCACTTGTTACTGACACGACTAGAGGTATGTCACAGTGAACCATTACATCACTTGTTACTGACACGACTAGAGGTATGTCACAGTGAACCATTACATCACTTGTTACTGACACGACTAGAGGTATGTCACAGTGAACCATTACATCACTTGTTACTGACACGACTAGAGGTATGTCACACTGAACCATTTAGTCACTTGTTACTGACACGACTAGAGGTATGTCACAGTGAAACATTACATCACTTGTTACTGACACGACTAGAGGTATGTCACAGTAAACCATTTAGTCATAACAGCAATAATTAACAAGTATTTATTGAGTTCATGATCAGCAAAATCAGACAAAAAATCCATGTTATTAGTCCCGATCATTCGTTCCAACAACTCGATACATCGATAAATCTTTGTATAACGCCAAACACCTTCTCGATACATCAATAAATCTCTGTATAACGCCAAACACCTTCCTCGATACATCGATAAATCTCTGTATAACGCCTAACACCTTTCGATACATCGATAAATCTCTGTATAACGCCAAACACCTTCTCGATACATCGATAAATATCTGTATAACGCCAAACACCTCCTCGTTACATCGATAAATCTCTGTATAACGCCAAACACCTTCTCGATACATCAATAAATATCTGTATAACGACAAACACCTTCCTCGGTACATCGATAAATCTTGTATAACGCCAAACACCTTCCTCGATACATCGATAAATCTCTGTATAACTCCAAACGCCTTCTCGATATATCGATAAATCTCTGTATAACGACAAACACCTTCTCGATACATCAATAAATATCTGTATAACGACAAACACCTTCCTCTACACATCGATATATCTCTGTATAACGCCAAACACTTTCCTCGATACATCGATGAATCTCTGTATAACGCCAAAAGCCGCCGAAACATGTTGTAGCAGTATAGCACACTTGTTTTATTCCTCCTTTTTCGGTTTAAGAGATGAAATTCGTTCTCTCTTTTTGTAGTAAGCCGATGCAGTATTTCATCCATATACCTACAAAGGAATTTCTGAACCTGTCGATTGAATTATATTTAATTTTCAGAATTATATTCACATGTACTAGTAATGGTTTCTAGTATAAACATGGCTCATGCATCTTTTTAAAAAAAAATACCCAAACGGCTCACGTGTATATCTTCTCACGAGCTTAGTGAAACCCACACTGACTCACTCATTTTGACATAGTATCGTTTTCTTGTTCCTACTTTTTTTCAGTCAGAATCTAGAATCTATGACATGGTAAAAATGCTCTGTCTGCTGTTAAGTAAGTCAGTGTGTTTGTTACAATGTGGCAGGCAGACCTTGAAACTTACACGACGGATGGATGTTTGGATATCGATGGAATTAGGACGCATTGTACCTGTTGGAACATCGTGTAGGCCACATCAAGTTAATACATAATCTAAAAACAAAAAGACAATAAATGACTAAAATATGTGAATACGACCATTTTGACTATTGAAATACACTTGTTTCCATCGAAATTCAGAACTCAACTGCGCTCAGTTTGCATTCCTAGTCAAAAAGAAAGCCATCTAGAAATGACGAAGCACGTTAAGTTTCCATTTTTTAGTTGGCATTTATATTGGCGCTAAAGTATCAACTGAACAGAGTTCAATCCTTATTTTTATCATTTTGTGATACACTTTAATTTCATTCACAACGAGGGTCTTTATTACACGTCATAGCGTCAAGACCAGTTAGTGTCCGGACCAACGAGGGTCTGTATTACACAAGACACATGTACAGCGTCCAGAACAGTGCGGGTTTGTACTAGCGGTGTATGTCGTACACAAGTTACAGCGTCCAGACCAGTGAGGGTCCGGACTAACTAGGGTCTTTCGTACACAAGTCACAGCATCCATACCAGAAAGGGTTCGGACTAACGAGGATCTATCGGACATAAGTCTCAGAAGTGTGTAAATGCAAAAGATGACTACTCTTTTATGTTTCGATACAAAGCAATTTCAGACTCTTTGATACTAGAGTTCTCTGATCCGTTTGATGGCCGATCATTATAAGTATTGACCTGATATTATGACGTGCTAATTTGTATATTATATCCGAGACAAATTTTTCAGAAAAGGAGAGAAGTAATCAGCCGTAATTCTGTAAACAAAACATTATTTTGACTTGTCCTTATATATAATAGGTTGCTAGCTGATGTATACAACATTTTGCAACATTTTGACGTGACATGGAATTCCGGAGAAGTATACTATTACAATGTCAGGGAGGCGCTTGTATGTATCGGAGGGGTGTGCCTCTTACATTATCAGCAGGCGTACATGTCACAAATTTACGACGCGAAAAACATTTATTATGGTGAAATATTGCTCCCCGCACTGATCAAAACGTCTAAAGATAACATACTGAAGTTTTAGAGACGATAAACTGTTTATAACATTCCAAGGAGAAATGCGATGGAACCTCGTTGATTCGGAAATCCGTCAATCCGGACACCACACTATACAACAAATAACGCTAAGGAACATAAAAAAACGTTAAGTAATGTTATCAATATAAATTCAAGAACCAATGGCTGTTTTTAATAATGTTTAGCAAGTTCGAATGAGTTAATTTTCAAAAAGAACAAAACGAGCTTTATTGCATTTCTTCTTTTTAAAAATTAAATATTAACTATCATGACTTAAGATAAATATGGCAAAGAACGGTCACTAGCAGTAAGACGTCTTTCTATCACAAATCCATTTCACTCTGTCGAGTGCTCGACAACGTCACAAACGAAAAGTCACACCGCGTATGAATTTCCCAGAGTTTTTCACTCCTGCATTACGGACATTCATCCGCGATAATGGATGCTGGACTTCTACAAATAGGACGCTCAAAAATAATCAAAATAGAACAGTGTCGAACCATTAGTAGTAGTATAAGACAATCTGAATATAAAGCTGTGAAAAAACAGCATGATTTCTGCACATGAAGTAACACGGCATACACCTCCAGTTGATCAGGACCATGTGGTAGATTAGCCTTTGGCTAAACATGTCATCCTCGTTAAATAAAGTTTATTATTATTATTATTATTCCTACCCGGCTTGATTCGTCGTTTTTGAATCGATCTTGTTGACCACTCCACAGAGTCAAATAAGCTTGTGACCGTGGTTTATAGTAAAGATCTAATTCTCGGTGGCACGTAAACATATACACGCAGATAAATGAAAATGTAAACATTAAGACCACACGTACATGTAGACAAACCCATATGAGTTAAATATTTGTTATACATTTTGCATTATTGATATTTATTTACGAATTTTCTATTTTTACCATTTTTGTATGGCTATAACACAATTGTCAATCAGAAACCACTCGGGAATTTCCGTCAACCTTCGGATATTGACGTAACGTCGACTGCTACATTATCACGGAAATACTCAAACAGTTTTCGACTGAAAAACATTTCAGGGAAATAGTTCTTATAAGGTGTTATATTTTTCACAACATTCTATATTGAGAATAAAAAGGTTTAGTTAGAGGCTCTTCAACAGCAATGTAAATATGATCCGATCTTAATTATTTTACATTAAAGCGATATTTTGCATCCGTACACTAAGTGGTTACCTTAACAAAATTGATCTTCATCTTCCTTCAAATTAATAATGTCATTTTTAATAACATTACTATATTTATTACAGGTTCTGACGCCCACGTGGTCTGAACTGTCAGGTGATGAAATATACATTGACACTCCTAACCAACATTCCATGACCGAAGGTAAGATTTTCTATTGAATTACTTCACCAGTGTTTCCAATCAAGACGTTTATTGTTAGGGGAGTTATGTCACGTTGTACTTGCACTACGGATAAGATGGCGTCCACTGTTAGTTTGGACCAGAAAGAGAGACTATGTGCTTTCTACATGGTGTGTAATTGTTCCGTACATTGAACACTACTCCAACAACTACATGTAACTCAACCAATTAGCTCGCATTACACAACTACCTCCACCAATCAGCTCGCGTTACACAACTACCTCAACCAATCAGCTCGCATTACACAACTACCACAACCAATCAGCTCGCGTTACACAGTTTCATACACAAATATTCCCTACTGGAAATTAGAATTTATGCATCACGATTGCCGATATTACCAACACAGAGAATTTGTAAATGTTCTCCATATATATTACATTACAGTAAAACCTCCATATAATACCCACGTTTAATTTGCCACCGCACTTACCGCCAACATATTCCAAGGTCCATTTTTCTCTTTTTTGCTAAGAATTTCCCTTTATGTTAACCTTATTTTACCACTAAACCCCTTTATAACACCACATATTACCGCTAAACCCCTTTATGTGAACCTCATATTACCGCTAAACCCCTTTATGTTAACCTCATATTTCCGCTAAACCCATTTATGTTAACCTCATATTACCGCTAAACCCTTTTATAACACCACATATTACCGCTAAACCCCTTTAAGTGAACCTCATATTACCGCTAAACCCCTTTATGTGAACCTCAAATTACCGCTAAACCCCTTTATAACACCACATATTACCGCTAAACCCCTTTATGTGAACCACATATTACCGCTAAACCCCTTTATAACACCACATATTACCGCTAAACCCCTTTACAACGCCACATATTACCGCTAAACCCCTTTATGTTAACCTCATATTACCGCTAAACCCTTTTATAACACCACATATTACCGCTAAACCCCTTTAAGTGAACCTCATATTACCGCTAAACCCCTTTATGTGAACCACATATTACCGCTAAACATTTTATAACACCACATATTACCGCCACATATTACCGCTAAACCCCTTTATAACACCTCATATTACCGCTAAACCCCTTTATGTGAACCACATATTACCGCTAAACATTTTATAACACCACATATTACCGCCACATATTACCGCTAAACCCCTTTATAACACCTCATATTACCGCTAAACCCCTTTATGTGAACCACATATTACCGCTAAACATTTTATAACACCACATATTACCGCCACATATTACCGCTAAACCCCTTTATAACACCACATATTACCGCTAAACCCCTTTAAGTGAACCTCATATTACCGCTAAACCCCTTTATGTGAACCACATATTACCGCTAAACGTTTAGTCTTTTATTTTACAGAGAAAGTAAACCCTTTTATGTTAACCTCATATTACCGCTAAACCCTTTTATAACACCACGTATTACCGCTAAACCCCTTTAAGTGAACCTCATATTACCTCTAAACCCCTTTATGTGAACCTCAAATTACCGCTAAACCCCTTTATGTGAACCACATATTATCGCTAAACCCTTTCATAACACCACATATTACCGCCGCATATTACCGCTAAACCCCTTTATAACACCACATATTACCGCTAAACCCCTTTATAACACCACAAATTACCGCTAAACCCCTTTACAACGCCACATATTACCGCTAAACCCCTTTATAACACCACATATTCTATTGGTAATTGGAGGCGTTATTACTAGTCGTTACTGTAGTTTACTTTCTAAAGAGTGTGCTCAATAATTCCGAAATATGCCGATTGATAGGTGGTACATTTGAGGATTTTACTAAAACAAAGTTATATCCGGTCTCGAGGCTCTGGGAAATTAACTTGGTGATGTGTTTCCAGGGGATACCGTATAACTCTCGGCAGTCCAACATTATAAACTATCTATACCTGTGGTGCTAGGTGTTTATTTCAAAGTTAGCATTTACAGGAACGTTAAAACATAATTTAATGTTGCTGAAATGATACAAAATGAATCTCGTTTAGTCTTTTATTTTACAGAGAAAGTATTGATTTCTTGTAAGAAATTGACTACTTTCTATAGTTGGTATATTACATGTATAGCTATCCAGTACATCTCTCCTACATTGTTAACTCGTCAGATTATCCCTCTAATAAAAGTGACTCACGAGAAAGTTTGTTTAACATAAGTTGCTCTACAGAAATTCACTCGCGCTTTTGAAAAAAGCTTACTAGGGCGGCTCTCTGACATAAATAACTCACAAGAATGTCACTATAACGTAAACTACTCACAAGAATGTCCCTATAACGTAATATACTCACAAGAATGTCACTATAACATAACCTACTCACAAGAATGGCACTATAACATAAACTACTCACAAGAATCTCACTATAACATAAACTACTCACAAGAATGTCACTATAACGTAAACTACTCACAAGAATGTCCCTATAACGTAATATACTCACAAGAATGTCACTATAACATAAACTACTCACAAGAATGGCACTATAACATAAACTACTCACAAGAATGTCACTATAACGTAAATTACTCACAAGAATGACACTATAACATAAATTACTCACAAGAATGTCACTATAACATAAATTACTCACAAGAATGGCACTATAACGTAAATTACTCACAAGAATGTCACTATAACGTAAACTACTCACAAGAATGTCACTATAACATAAATTACTCACAAGAATGTCACTATAACATAAACTACTCACAAGAATGTCACTATAACATAAATTACTCACAAGAATGTCACTATAACATAAATTACTCACAAGAATGGCACTATAACGTAAATTACTCACAAGAATGTCACTATAACGTAAACTACTCACAAGAATGTCACTATAACATAAATTACTCACAAGAATGTCACTATAACATAAATTACTCACAAGAATGTCACTATAACGTAAATTACTCACAAGAATGTCACTATAACGTAAATTACTCACAAGAATGTCACTATAACATAAATTACTCACAAGAATGTCACTATAACATAAATTACTCACAAGAATGTCACTATAACGTAAATTACTCACAAGAATGTCACTATAACGTAAATTACTCACAAGAATGTCACTATAACATAAATTACTCACAAGAATGTCACTATAACATAAATTACTCACAAGAATGTCACTATAACGTAAATATTTATCAGTGTATGGTACTGCCACTGTCTAGCCCTAAATAGACTCAACTGACTTCGGATGGCATTCTAGAAGACTATAAATGCCACTGCTCACGTATGCGTGCTGACGTCATCTTTATTATGATGTCACAATTGTAACGTTAGGATCGAATATGCATGCACGATACTCACATACAATAATTTGAAATACACGATGAATTTTATTAAGCAGATTTTTAATTTCGGTAGTTATAAGATACTCCGAAAATGGTAAATATAAACAAAGAACTGCGTTGATATGGCATTTACAGTCATTTAATGCGCTAGTGCGTATCATGATAATTGCCTTGTCATATCGAAACAGTTCAGTGCTTAAATAACTTACCAGAATCTCTCTTTAACATTCATTTCTCGTTATCATCAAAATGTCCCTCTAAAATACAAACTTACTAAAATGTCCGTGTTTTATGAGTAAAAGTACAGCTCACAACATAGTGTCTCTGACGTATATACTCATCGTAACGGCCATGTAACCAAACTCTGACACGTGAAGTCAACACGTGATCAGTTTGTCATTAATACCATGATAAAAATACTTACATTGTCCCATACACATTCGTAATATTTCTCTACATTGTTGATTGTAAGAGTTTATAAAAATATCCTAAGGGAAAAAACCACATAAATGTCCGGAACGACTTTAGCAGTGGTAAATATAGAATGTGACGTCATGCTGGTTTGATAAGAAGGAATGTACAACCGGTACGATCACACTCAATGTTTCTGTGACACTTAACAGATTATGGGATATTGTCCTTAAATACAACAATAACAACACAAAAGAAAGACCACAGGACTGGGTAATGGGCCCATACGACATTGGTTAACACGATTTACGTAAACATTCCTGGGTAGATCAGTGTATGTGGAAGCTAGAAAACTAATAAGATTATAAACGTACCTTTGTTCCATACACATTCGTACACGTAACATGTCTGTTCTTTGTGGCTCCACTTTGCTTTTTCTTAAATTTAAAAATTGATTTAGAACTGAACTATAAACCAGAACATTGTTTAGGGTCTGTAGACAAATAAAACACATGCGGTGTCATATGGTTGGTATTATAGATGTAAAAGTTTACTTTTCAAACCGTGTCAATATTTATGCGTTACGTCCTTTTTTGTATATGGATTTCTTCCCGGAAACCAACATTAACGAAATATTTATATATATATATATATATATATATAAGCGGAAAATGTTCGTTTCCCTGTTGGATTCCATTGATGAATATTAATACGCCATTATAATACAGTATATTTATACACCTCTTCAAATCTCGCTACTTACAATATTTATATACGCCACTTAAAACAAACGATAGTTTCCTATTAGTATATTTTTTTATAATTCTCAAAATGTGTCAAACTGCTGATTTACTTTTTTGCATTTTTAAATATATTTTACAAACATTCTAATTGGGTGTTACAAATGAGCCTTTAAAGAAAATATTGTACATGTTTGTAAGCGTTAACAAGATGTTCCAGTAACGTCATTACGTCGTCAGTGTAAACAATTGACTTGATAACCACCGAGATCGAAAACTGTTAAAATGTTATATGTTTGTATTGAATGTCTTTTAATTAAGATAATACGATATTGATATAAAAAATAATTGCATACACTTAAAATAAATGGTGTATTTCATCATGTTCCTTTTAAAAAGTAAAAAAAGGAAGAAATATATTCAAAACTCACTTTGTTAGTTCAGTCAATGTTTGCATTAATTGACTTTTCAAATGCTCATGATTTTTCCAG